TGAGAGCTGCCTTAGGTAATGCAAATGATATCAATGCTAACTATTGACCTGATAACTGGCTCGCTGGCTTGCCGAACTACCTCGTGGTGCCAACTAGGTGGTTCGGGGTCTCCGCATTAAGGCAAAATGCTCGGCGGCAGCATTCCAGAACGTGATGCGTTTTCGCTTGACAAGTGTTCTCTCTAGAACAGTTGTTCTCAACCTTTTTGAAGTTGTTGCGCCCAAAACGGGTAATTTAACTTACGGAAAGCGAATACCATTTTTAAGTATACTTTATCATTCAAAAAAGAAACCTGTTTTTGAACAACATTTCAGTAAATCGAGGTGAAGTTGATGTGCTGATTACTATTGCTTGGTTCCAACAATTCATAGTACATTTAGTGCGGTTTCAGCTAATTCACATCGCACCAGGTGCTCCAATTTCATTCGTTTCTTTGCTTTGGTGTGCGATCCCTGATCAAACATGACCAGATATCAGTGGCTGCTCATTTGTCTCGAATATCCCTTCCAAGTTCGTCTTGGATGACAGGATTTCAGCATCACACTGTATCGATACGTTCTGAACACTAATCGCCCGTTGTGTCCATTCTACTTTGTAAACATGAGATCACTCTTTTACCTGATCTGCTAACATATGCTACCACCTTAGTTTACAAGCAACTCTGTAATTCGACTCAACGAACGTGTGCTTAACTCAAAAGAACTACGATCGAGGAGTGAGCCGATTGAGATGCCATCTAGCTGCGCTGCTTAGCAGGTTTGCATTCGTAGGTTAAGTAATGAAGTTTGTCATTGAAAAGTATTTAGTTCACTGAACACTCACTAATGATTTATCAACGATGGCTTATCAATAGTGATTACGCAGTAAGTTGGTCGTCTTGATTCAGATGCCTTTGTTATTAATTTTGTTTGGTGACAGATTGATGACCAAATCATCGTACTGATATTTACCCCATTGGAGGTAATTACCCCTAAATTGAGAACTGCTCTAGAGAAAGCTACAAATGTCCGTTTAATAACGCTGCAACGTGGCCGATGTAACTCGCCACTAAAAAGTCATTGCTTCTTGCTCCGCCTCGCTGGGGTATCGTAGTCTTTCAGTTGGATACTAAACTGCAAGGGGCACTGGGCCCCCTGTTTGGCAGGTCGCCAAGGTGTATAAAACGAATGGTCGGTCAGCTGCTCACAATGGGCGTGATTAACTACATACGCCTTGCTGCCCTGAGGGTCAGGTCCTTAGTACCGAGGGCTCCGGTCGGGGTCCCCTAAGTCAACCCCTTTCACGGTACTCGTTCTCCGGACTCTCTCCCTTTTCGGCAGATATGCAAGCGACCGTGCGTGTCAATCTTTTCACTACGGCACCGCAAACTGTCTTGTTAGTTCTACGCCTACTCAACCCTCCTGATCTACATACGCGAGTCTCCGAAAACGCATTGCAGCATAGTTTCTGAACGCACCTATGAACCCCTCAAGACCGATCGTACGCAGGGCTTTTATTGCACCCCGCTCGCTATTCAGGAAAGCTACGTTTAACATGAGAATATTTATGCAGATGGCATCATAAGCTAGTCTTGCGCGCATCCTTGGAAACAATCAAACGAGATCTGTTGCCTAACTGAGATCCGTTTACAGGACGCTGGATGTGGAAGAGAAAGCAGATGATAGCGTAAAATCATCGACCGTATACAAGTGTTATAGATTCCGAGGAGGAAATCGTTCGTGATGCTGAGACACTAAACAGCATGCACTCGAATCTTACAGTGGCATGTGAAATTGGGCAAAATAACTGTCTTTCCTGTCACGGAGGCGAAACAGCTGACTACTATGGTGCACACTAGCGGGGCGAGACCGGCCAGATCAAGTGAGCGGCCGCCAGACTCGTTGTCATGGTCAAACCGGAAGCTGACGAAATCAGACCGTCATCGCCGCACGGGTTGCTATGTTGCGGGCGTGGTCCTACCTACAGTCAGACAGTGATGGCCGCTACCAGAATTGAATCTGTTCAGACAAGAGATGTGAGTCACCTCAGCGAGGTAAGCGCATGTGACCTATAAAAGTAGCCGTGTTCTGTGCCTAATATATACGGCGGTCTAGCAGGCTCAGCGTTTTGTTTTCCCCGGCTGGTTGGTAGCGCAGAGGCAGAGGCAAAGGGCAGCGTTACAACGTTCCCTGCCTAGGCACACAGACCACACGGTGAATGGATGGTACGATCAAAAGGTCAGTTTAGCGAAAAGCAACATGGACAGATGAGTATTTGCATTTTAAGAGTTTCCCCCGATATAAGATTAACGCTCGTTCATCCATACGCTGGTTTATTGAGCCCAGATCATCTCGGACACAATAGAAACAGAAAAATATTGGCTATACGAGACACCGCAACCTAACAGTTACGCGATGCTGTTTATAAGGCACAATAGCTACATAGCCAACAGTTCAAAAGAAGCCGTATTCTATCGAACTGCCATTTAAAGATGATGATGTTCTGAAAAAAGTATTAGTGTTTCAGTGAAAACAGCGTACAACGCAGGTGAACTACGGTTGCGCACTTCAACGAGACTTCTGCTTGTGTTCCATCAAGACACCATTGCTTATACAAATTCCTCTGTAGCTGCGGAAACAGCTATATCGGACGCATTAACCGAAGTTTAGGTGTCAGGATCAATGAGCACATTCCTAAGTGGTTACGCAGTCGGATGGGTTCGGCGAGAGAGGAATCGAGAAATCGGACTGCCTCAGCAATCACAAGGCAGTTGCTGAGCACCGAACACCGAGTTCGTCTCGAGGAGTCATTCACCGTTCTGGTACGTAATCAGCGGCCCCAACACGGCATGCCCACCGCGTAGCGACCAGATTTCTGGCCCATAAGCGAACACTGGTCCCACAGCCGTGTTGAAATTCTTCCTTTGAGCTATAAGCTATCTTTCGCCGTCTTCACAAGTGACGGGAGCTCTGGAAAACCGTACGATCATCAGCAATCCGCTGACAATCTCATCGATGATTCGACTACCAGACGCGACCCAGTTAACAAAAGAGGTATACCGATTGGCTACTTCGAATAGATCTTCCATGACTGCGAAAACCGGTGGCGTGTCGCCGCAGACGCAAAACACAAACTGCAACTTGTAAGGTTGCTCGCCAGCGTATTCTGAAGGGCTTGGATAACGGCCGGGTCTGATGTTAGAGCATTTGTTGTCGATTTCGACCGAAAAAGACACATGAAAGCCCTGAAGTTAGGGTAGTTTCCTGTACACCGTTTCATGGTAACCAGGAATCATGGTAGAGAGAATTTATAATGGAAACATCTCCGATAGGTTCTTCGAAGCTAGACACTGCCACATGCAAGGAGGTTAAACAAATCAAAAAATCCTTGTGGGAATGTTTTATCAAGAGATACGGGAGTGGAAGAATTGTAATGAACTTCGATTGTTGTCGAAGGTGCTCAACAATTAGCTGTAGACTCCGAGGTGAGCTGTACGTGAATATCTGCAATGCACAGGAACGTGGTTCCAAGCGAGTAGACGTAATCGAGAGATCAACTAACTATACTTACTCTTAAAATTAAAAACCTAGTCAGAGTCGGTCCGCGTAACGCTATTCTGGCATTTGTCACAAAGCAAGAATATACTCAATGAAACCATGTAGCGATCGAGAACGATCTGATCTTTTCTTACAGGAGATCCACGGCTAGCAGTGAGGGAAGTCAGCAACCCTATCACTGCCTTTGTCCAATATCGCCGCTAGGTTCCCATCGTCTAGACTGGTTTGAAAGGCTCCTTCTATACAGATAAGCTAAGGTGAATTGGCCTGCAATTTAATAGCGAGAAACGAAGCTGCGTTCAGTCGGCGCTATTTGCGCTAGGTGAATGAAGATGAAAGACAAGTAAGTGTTTGACTTAAGGAGCGCGAACGATGGATAAATGAGCTCATTAGATCAGCGTGTGAATCAGCTGGATGAACCTGCAACTGTTACCCGTCGGACTTGCCTCCTCTATTTTTCCATCTTTCATATGCCCTCTAAAAACTCTTCCAGTTAGCGCCCGATAGCGCCTGTCAGATCACTCTGGATTGGTGCTAAAAAAAGAATTATTCTGAGATGTTTTAACAGGTTCGCAGAGTTTCTAAATATCCAGTGTCTAGTGTGGTCGGGACTGGGTGCAGTGCAAGGGTTAGGAGGACAATAGCCATAAAAACAACAAAAGCCTTAATCATCGAAGCATCAGCTGATTAGCTTTACATATTGACAGCATTCACTTGTTAAATAAACCACAAAAGCTAAACCCATTACAAGGAGGTGAGAACTACGCACTGTTCACTAGAAGTGGAGATCGGGAAACTTGCTTTAAATACGATGAATTCGTGACCAAGTAAGGAAGAGATGTAGACTAAAATCATCATCGGAAACACAAAGAAAGTCAGAAGTACGGCAATAAGACTATAGAACTAAACCGCTGATTGGCCCGTCCTTATCGATTGACCTTGGCTGAGACTGCTTGTGTCTGTGCTTTGCGAGCCAACCGCTCGTCTATTTTAATCTATAGGCAGCTGCAGCTGAAAACCGCACAATCCACATCGACTGAAAGCAGCAATAGTAACGCCAACACCGGTAGGACTAATGAAATACATTCCAAATCAATCTGCTTTGTTTGAAGGTCATTTTAGAGCCCCTGTTACATGTATGGACTGCGACGTGTAACCTCAATCTGTTCTAATGATTGCAAATGTCTAAGGAGGTCGCAAGTCCGATTATTAAGAGAATGCAAAAAAATAAAAACAATGATTGTGCAACAACAAATCGCTGGCCAAGGAAAACAGAGCTTCGATGTGGGGAAAGGGTGATAGCGCGCAAATTCGGAAAGGCAATCGAATGAAGCGTAACGCCTAAAAATTAACAGAACTGTAGCCAATACAGCTGATGCTCTGCAAACTAAGATAAAAGCGGGGACATTGTTAATGAGTTGAAATGAACGAACCTCAGTGACGAGGCTAAATGAGAAACTCACCAAGGATTCTAAGGGTGTCGGCCAGGGATGAACGCAGAAAGGGTCGAGGAACGTCGCAAAAGTGTGCGATACTTCAGGCTGCTCAATAGCAGCCTTCGGCGAGGTCATCACCATTTTTGCCACTGCTGCGAAGAAGTCAGCTGTATCGCTAGCACATGGGAGAGAAGAAACCGATGTTTTAAAAGATGCTTGTGTCCCAGAGGAAGTAGCGCATTCAGTTAGCCCGTTGTCTCCTCTGTCGGAAGTGTTGACAACAGTGGGACTGGAGTTGCCAAGCTGGTGTTGAGCAAGCAAGGAATATAAGTAAGTACTAAGGGGAGAATTGGCAAAATGTGCAGCGATGTGCTCAAGTTGAGGGTTCGATGTGGACGACTCAAGTGGATTGAGCGATGTCAAGTAAGTGGAATGTGGCGCGTGATTGGACTCAGCGGACGATTGAGAAGTCACGATGGACTGCTGATTGGCTACGGTAGATGGGAGAGAGAAAGGAGGTAGAAGAGCAGGATTCCGATTAACCAAACCGGGGGAAATTGCTATGGGTTGACCGACAGAAGAAGCGCCCCCGGAGGCCACAAACGTCAAGACGTGCATCGGTGTAAACACCTTCGGAGGTGAAGCGAGACTTCTTGCTTCAGAAACTCCGTTACACTCCTCAGAAAACTTGGGTTCCGACATTTCGCAAGAGCCCTATGAGAGAAAACGAATGATAAAGTAATCGAGGTGAATGGATCCGAAATACAAGAAGGTAAACGAGATCAGACGTTCGCTGCGTCCAAACGACGGGATATAGAGTGAATACACAACTAGCGAATGCACAACTCTTAAAACGAAAGTCATCCGGAAGAAAGCCTCCACTACGGAAAGTAAAATATATGGATCAACTATCAACCATCTCTGTTTGAGTGTAGGTTGGATGAGCCAATGCCATGCTGTTAATTTTAGCAGATAACCCAGCTGCTTTATCAAGCTTTATGATTGACCTGCAAATACGGCTAGTGTCAACGTGTGTTCGCATCATGTACTGTGCTTCCATTGTTGCCCCGTTGAACACGCTTTTGCTATGTGTATGATTAATGATTGGAAATTTGCCGGGAACGGGGTTGTCCTCAATCGTAATCGCACACACAACAGTCAGAGTGTAGAATCGTCTACATGCGTTCACTGTCATAACCTGGTGGGCCATAAGCGTCAAGTCCAAAGAGCGGACGTGGTTACAATGAAAAATTGAATGTCAGTCTAAAGAATTGCAGTACGTGAATGTTTAGCAGCAGAGGCGACGCGAATCACCTTGTCTCGTAAGTGGAGAATTACAGTTGGGGCGGTCAGGTAAGGAGATACGATGATAAAGACAAGATGATAAAGCAAGCAAATTAAGAGCAAAAGTTCGATTCCATACATGAGTCAATGAGGCAACATTACCATCGAAGTACTGAGCAGAAAGGATGAAGTGCTCATCAGGCATATGCATTGCTGCTCCTAGTTAAACTTAAAGCGAAGAAGACGCGGAGCGATTCCTGCACCGTGGACTCATCGTAGCCCTTCTGCGCCCTTAAGGCGCTTGGATAAAATCAGATAGAACACCACTACAAAGGTCTGCAATTCGCACTGGAGCAATGGTAACTAGTTGGCTGTATCCCGATCCAGTCTCAACGATCAAGGTATTTCAAAGGACAGACAACTTTATGTAATGCATTTCCTGCTACCGCCCACGGAAGACGTAAACACTCCATGAACCAGTGGCTTCAAAGGGCGTATACTTAGCAAAAACTCGGACACCCGAAGTTACCTATTGAATGGTCCCCTACAATTACCACAAAAAGCAATCATCTCTGCTAAATAAGATCAAGAGCAACTACGTCTTGGTGATGTCTAGTTTTCAACCCAAAGTCTATAGCAAAAATTGGAAGTGTACAGATAACGCGAGGATATCGGTCAATAGGACAATGTTACCCCCCTACTCCGCATAATTCAACTTCTCTCACGACCTCTTTCAACAACCAAATTTAGTGGTGGCGGGAATGGAGTCGCTACCATCACCATTCCAGATAGATCAGGCGGAGGTAAATATTTGATTTCGTTCCCCCTCCAAGTGGCCCATATGACAAGGCCAGTCTAGTGCCAAACCAACGGAATTCTAAACATGATGCCTCAGCCATCTTCGTGCCCCCAGTTCTATCGGCATTCAAACGCAACACACGGTGCCTACCTCCAGTTACTAGTGACTGACTCGTGCCCACCACTCTCGCACTTACGTACCGTGGGTAGCACATTCCAATCTAAATATCCAGGCGATCATGCTACGCGCAGCGACAAATCCACAGTGGACAGTATGTTTTCAGCAGTTCTGCCTAACTTCAGATCCACAATCAGCAAAGTCCATTGTTTAAACACACTTGCACAGTTCAATGACCTACAGTTCCATCAATCAAGTATGATCCGAACACCCAAGTGCAGTGAATCCAGTTGCCACGACTGACGAAGCCAGGATTGAATGCAAATAGAAAACAAATAATGGAAAATCAAGGAGGTACGCAAAACTAATCAGGATGGGATGAAAATTAACAGCAAGACGCAACAAAGCGAATGCATGCACGCGACTGAGTGCGTCCATCGCAACGAGGCTGGACCTTAATGTGAACCCATGGTTTGCATACGACCGTGACTCATTAAGCTACGCTGGGTGGCGCATTCCAAGTGCCTTCACAGCCACTCATACCAGACAGGTCAAGGGTTATGGGTCAGACTAACTCAGTCTCCCAATGCAATCCTCTTCAGAAGTTAGGGAAAGGTCGATGGCCCACTTCCTTCAACCCCTAGCCATATGAGACAACATGTCTAAAGGTTATAAGTTCACAACTCGATTCACATAGAGCACGAGTGCCAGGCCTTGTCTCTGACGGTGGAAGAGCACCTACCGGTGCTCAATGGTTTGCTACCGCCGGCCTCAAGACAGATAGCCCCTGGTCAAATTGGTGTAAACCCACCAACTCTCACCTTTAGCTGGCTGTGGTCGCAGGTGCGTCACATAATACGGTCGGAAAACCCAAGTGCATTGCTCTAAATCATCAAAGGTTGTGTGTGAGAGGTATTAAGCAGATCCCAATGGGTCTCTGCAATCACACTTCCGAGCTGGACTTGTTCCCCACTGCCTGGTAGGTCAGGTTATTGATGCAAGGGCAGGGCACCTCGAAAAACCTCTCTCTCGAAATGGGCAGCCGGAGAGTACCACCTACCCTCTCGGCGACGTCGACGATAAGCCCTCATCTTTTTGTCGTTGTTGTCCTCTCAGCTTAACTCTCTTTTGCCCTGGCTACTGAGTAAGAGACTGCAGTTGACCTCGCAGCTGCAGCCATTGATACAGGTAGCTCTATCGTCAAACCTAGAGTTTCGTTTTATATTGGTCCTTTTAACATTCGTACTCTAGGTCAGATCAGGCTGCAGACAGTACCAACCCCTACTCTATTGATATTGATGTGAGCTATGTCTCCGAAATACGCACACAAGACAACGGCGTTGTGACGAATCTTCGACTCCCTGGTTCTGAATCTGACGATGATGGCTACACTCTTCGCGTTTCTGGCGATACTGAGTCAATGGCTCAAGGTATTTACGGTGTTGGTATCGCCCTCAGCAAACATGCAGAGAGCAATCTGTTCTACTGGATGCCAGTGTGTGTGCGGTTCGACTTCGAACCTGAAAATCTGAAAATAAGATGTCTTTCCGTCGCCTCAGTTTATGTCCCTACTGAAGGCAGTTCAGAGGGTATTAAAGACAATTTCTATCGCCAACTCTCATCTCTTTGCGTGGCTAAATAATGCTGACATCTTGATTGTTACCGGTGACGTGAACGCCCAATTGGGTCGTCGTTCTGAGGCTTAACAACACCTGGGAGGCCGCTTCGGAGTAAATGCATGCCGAACACATAACGGTGATCGATTCCTGCAGCAGTACGCCGAGTATAACCTTCACCTTAGCAGCATTGCTTTCCAGCACAATCGTCCACATCGAGTCACCCGGCGTCCACCGAACCCCTCAATGACCTGGAACCAAATTGTGAGCAGCTACAGGAGGCGCACATCATTCCAAGACGGTAGGTCAATTACGAGCATGTACTTGGATTCCGACCATGCTCTGGTGAGCGCACGCTTGACGCTCACGCTACCCGCTTCAAAAAAGCGTTCATCTTCCTACCTTAGCTGTGCAGAGATATTATGACGAACTGGACCACGAATTATCAGTGGTGAATGAGCTTGGTGAACCGAATGCTGACTGGATTCGTATCAAATGTGCCATCAAGAATGCCTTTGACGCCTGCTGTGCACCCAACTTGAGGCGTGGTAACTGCGTATGGATCTCTGAGGCACCGATCAGCTAGATCGAAGCAAGGAAACAGGTTCTGATGAACACTGAGTTTCTATGAAACGACGCATCTCAGAGTCTTCGGATAAACTGCGAATGTTGGCGGATCGCAAGGGCCCATGAGATGGAGAAAGTCGGTGCTATTGGGAACCGCCGAGTGCTGTTCCAACTCATCCGGAACACGAGTCCAAGAAAGCCATCAGTTAGGGAAACAATAGCTGAGAAAGATGGACAGTCGAGCCATTCTCAGCGTTGTTGACTAGCCCATCAAACCAAAGATTTTGAAGAGAAGTTCAACAGGCCATTTGCGATACCGCCGCTTGCCGAATGGTCTGAGCCGAGATGGGAAGTAGATGTCACATCTCCCACTTTTGGAAGAGATTCGACATGAGCATTAAGTGTTGAAACGAAACAAGGCTCTTGGACCCGACGACAATCCCCCATCTTCGCTGAAAGATGAAGGCAACTATTTGTTGACTGGATTTGCTTCTCTGTTTAACACGATTAGGAACACTGAAGTGGGGTCTTCAAACTGACGACTATTGTGCACATCTTCAAGAAGGGTCCGCGTACTTGGTGGAAAAATTATCAACGCAGTAACCATAGCTCTATTGCCTCCGAACTTTTCGACGACTTACCGGTCCCCGTGAGAACTGAAAGCCAGGCTGGCTTCCGCTCTGGTCGTGATCGAATCGAACACATTTACTCTTCACCAAGTTTTAGAGCAGGCACGCATAGAGAAGACCGACTATGGTGGTTGGTGGTGCTTGACTTGAAAGTCGAATTCGACTGCTGGCCGAGCCAGCTTGTGGCACTGCCTATTCGTGAAGGGCGTGTAAACTAAATTCATTTGCATTCTTAAGTCTCTACCGTGACTCCCGAGGCCGTGTAAGGGTCTACGGAAAACTGTCTCCTGAGTTCCCAACGACGAGTCTGGTTCGACAGGCTTACCCTATATCTCCTTATTTCTTCAAGTTTGTGACCGAAATGATAATGAACCAAGCGGTTCTTTCAGACTCTACCGGAGTGGAAGTTCTGTCAGATGACCGACTGACCAACATGGGGTAGGCAAACGACATGCTCTCCTTGGGTCTGACGCAGTGACTATGCAAGCGCTGCATGCTTCGGTATGTGCTTTGTACTTTCAAAGTGCAATGTACTGATGCAGGATTAGACAGACACCTCCGATTCTAGCTATCACCGAACAGCTACTGGAAGTGGCGAATCGGTTCACATACTTCGGTAACAGTGTCACCTCTGGTGGTTACAACACTGAGGTTACTTCGCGTGTGGCTTCCCATGGACCAAACTAATTAGGCAGACGACGG